AAATAGAAGCCCGCCTGGAGAAACTAAATAAGATTTCAACAGAAAATAAAAAGAGAGATTTTGAAAACCAAGTGGAGCGTGTTCAAGCTATCACAAGAGTTATCAAGGGCAAGGAGGGACTGATACTAGATCCTAGGAATAGATACGTTAGAGAACTCATAAAACGATCATCTGTAAGAACACTCAAGGATGGCACAGAGGTGTTGATATTCAGAAGTGAACAAGGTATTAATAAAAGTGGTACACAAATAATGAAACGTGGTTTTTCCGACAAACCTGTGTACTCGAAGGCCTCACCTGCACTGAGAGAATATAAGGAACTCCTGAAGAAAATAAAAGAGGTACCTACGAATCCTGACGACATAGTTGTAAGTGATGAGGGTGACCAACCAGCTGACCTAAGTGAGTTAAGTAGTGAGGAATACGCTGACCGTGAGAATATTGAGTTAATAGATATAAGTGCAAAATTAGGAGATCTTCCAGGGTTAACAATGCAAGAAAACAATGAACTAAGAGGTGTTCTTAACCCACCTGATGGATCAAGTATAGAAGGTAGAACAGGTCCCAATGGAGCATTGCAAATTCAGGCTGACTAATGAAGCTATTGGTGAAACCGTGGAACGCGCCACCTCTGCGGAAGGTACAACTGAGTATAATTCCCTCCTAGAAAGAATTGACAGTTTGAAGGAAGCTAGAGATAGGACACTAGAGCAGAGAACAGTAGAGGAAGCAAGAGAGGCACAGTTGGAAGATATTTCTAGATTACGTAGATTTATAGACTGGGTAGGAAAGGAAAAGGTGGGACTTGTAGGGATAGCAGTGTCAACAGCTAGTTTAATTACAGCCCTATTAATCCATGCTAGGGGAGCCATTGTTAAGACAGCAAAGACCACTAGTAAAGTAGCAAAAGCATTAGCAAATTTAGCAAAGAAAGCAGGACCAATTCTAGTTCCAATCCTGAACGCAGTTGCAACAGCGCTATCCTGGGGAGCCAAAGGAATTGCCTGGCTAGCGTCTAATTTATGGGTACTAGCTGTAGCTGCGGCCTTAATAGTATATAATTATTACACAAAGTAAATTAGCTATAGAGGAACACCAGGAGGAATACGATGACCGGAGAATGGAAGAGTTGAGGGAAAAGTATCCGGACTATGAAGAAATAGATATAGAAGCCTTAGATAGCGAATTACCATACCTCGACAAGGATCTTAGGGAAAGTGAAACCGCTGAGGAGACCCAGGATATTAACGAGGAAATTAATTACGTACAGGAACTAAGGAGAAGAAAAATGTTAAGTGAAGACCTTACGAGAGAGCAATTAGCTGAGAAATTCCCTGACCTATCTGATCTGTCATACGATGATCTAATGGATAGGGGAGACAGACTGTTAAATGAATTAATACTATCCGATTTGGATGAAAACAGTTTCAAGGAAAAGTCGGAAGAACTGAGGTACGTTAGAATGCTATCAAATGATTACCAAAGAGAGTCAAACTTAAATAAACTTCTCAACTTAAGAGATAAGGTGAAAAAGAGGGATCTCATTAAACGGGATGATCATAGGAGACTGCAGAGGCTCAGGTTATGGGCAAGGGAGAATGCAGGCATCTTGTCAGCTGTTCTAATTTCCTCATCAGCTGTAATCATAGGACTGGTAGCATCAACTAGAAACATATTGTGGAAAGTAGGTGACACAACAGAAAAGCTCGATAAGCGGATCAGTGAGTTGGTAAACAACCAAATAGAACTACCACCTGTATTCCAGAAGATAGCCGATGGAGTAGAGTTAGCAGCGGATAATATATGGATAATCATTGTATGTGCAGCAGCAGTTTTATTATACACGTACAACTAAACATTACATATTGTATAAAGTATGAATACCACAGAAAGAGAACTCCAACCAGGCTTCAGAAGGAGCCGCATGACATCTGTAAAAGGACCTAGAACTAGAAGTGTTGTAACTTTTAATCCAACAACTATTAGCCCAGGTGAAGAGCTGTACATTAACATCCCCAAACTAAAGCCTGACTCTTGTTTAGTTCCAGGATCACTTGCACTATTATTTGACTTCAAAAATTCCAATACAAAAAGCCACTTTAATAATAACCTGTCTAAGTTGATAGCTAAACGTCTTCAGATCAAAGTAGCAGGTGAAACAGCTTATGACTGTTCAGGAGAGAGTTTGTACGAAATATACAAAGATCTATGGCTAACACTAGGTGATAGAAAAAAGATGACAGAACAGGGTCTTGCAAGTGAAAATCTCAGGAAGTTGATATCAGGTGACGACTCAGGAGTAAAAGTTGGTGACGCAAATAAAGTAGCAGATGCACTTCTCCACAGTGTGTACGGTTCTAAGCTTAGAAAACCAATTGATAAAATAATTGCAGACCATGGACTTTACGTACCATTCAACATGAACAACAATCCTATGTACATCCTCACACTCCCACAATCAGATGAAATTATGACTGCCCAAGGAGGTGAAGCTAAGGGTAATTATAAACTTGATAATCTTGAGCTAGAATACGAAACCATTGAAAATGACGCCCTTGCTGGTGAAGTCACACGGATGTATTCAACAGGTCGCTCACTGTCCTACAAACACGTCACACTAATGCGCACAAGTAATTGGGACAAGGATCTTACCATTGTCAATGAAAACATAAATATCCCCAGAAAGAGCATGTCGGCAATTGTCCTTCTATTTACCAATAGAGTGAGGACTGATTCTGAAGAGTATATTTATCCAAACATTGATAAGGTGAACCTGACCATTGAAGGTGTTCCTAATGCAGTCTTCTCCCAGGGACTTCCTAAAAATAGGTTCTTCGAAGAGGCAAAAAGATTCTTCTGCCCTATGTGCGAAAAATCCATGGCAGACGAATTTATGTCCATCAGCAAGTTCTTCGGCAATGGTTTCGCCTTAGTAGTAGATCTAAGGTCAACACAGGATGACACCACTGGAGGAGGTAGAAAGATTGTTAACACACAGTCAGGCGTACTCATGGAAATCAAAAAGAGAGCCACAACAGCTGACGTTCGATGTAATATTTTTGTTGTATCAGATGCTCTACTTAACTTTGCTAATAGGGATCTATCAAGTATTCAATACTAGCTGCGCTAGCAGCGACTACTGACGTAGCTTGCACCAACGGTAAAGCATAGAGATGAATATAATACCTCCATTCAACATGCTCATAGTAGCAATGACAGGAAGTGGTAAGACTCAGTTCTTACTTAATATGTTAGAAACAGAGTACAATAAAGTTTTTGATTACATTGTGATTATATGTCCAACCATAGAGTGGAATATGACTTACATTAATTGGGCTTATATTAGTGATCACGGAGTCATACAAATTCCATGTTCGCAAGAAATGATCAATCTAGTTCTGAAGGCAGTGTCCACCATATTTCGTGGAACTCAAACTCTCATTATAGTGGACGATTGTGCAGCAAGTCAAGATGTAAAGAAAAGAGTCTCAGAACTGGTGCGCCTAGCTTTCTCCGCAAGACATTACAACTTATCCGTCATTGTGATTACCCAACAACTGTCATCAATTGCAAAACCGTTCAGGGAGAACATTTCCAGGTTAGTTACATTCTACAACCCTAGTCGCAGGGATATGAAGGTAATAACAGATGATTACCTGAGTGGTGTTCCTCAGGAGACAATTATAGAGATTACAAAAATACTGAAAGATGAGAAGTTCACCGCACTGGATATACTACTTATACACCCTTACACATACACTATCAAACAAAACATCGCGTAGAATATAAAAGATGGGATCTGAATCTGATGAAGAAATATCCAATGCTGTGAGGGAAGTAGAAGAGGCCGCAAAGGCACCGCAAAAGAAAGCTAAGTCTACCGCAAGAAAAACCGCAGATAAGTCGCAAACCGAAAGTAAAAGAGACAAGCTTATAGAGCTATCTAGGGACGGTGCAATTGATAAGACCGCAAGTTTTATAAGAAAGTCCAACAAGGATGTTGTGGACAAACTTTACAATGAGTATGAAAGTCAGAGGATGTCATTCGCAAGTGACTTCTTATCAACACTTATAATTTCAAAGTTTGCTTCTGTATTAGGGAGTTTCGGTGCAGTGGAATCTTCAGAGAAACTGTCAGATGAACTACTTAGCGACAAACTTCTAAAGGATGACGTATCATACCTAACCAGAATGATATCCCCCAACATTCCATTCATAGGTTTAATATCAGGTGGCTGTACAACAGCTAAACATGTCGTTGCTCACAAGTGGAACAAGAAGGAGAAGCCTGAGGAGATATCAGAGGAAGCAAAACATATCCTATTACATAGTGAAGAAGAATGTCGCAGTACGACTGGGGAAACGCCTGGGATGGAACAGAATTCGAATCAATAATTGATGAATTGATTGAGAAAACTGACAGGAACAGGGAACAGCTAGATAAAATTCAGGCAACCCTGGATTCACTAGAGAGCGATCATAATTCCCTTAAGAATAAAATAGTAGGTCCACTAAAGTATGAATTCGAAGCTTTTAAAACCGACACAATTAAAACAGTTGTAAAGATATACAAGAATCTAAATGAAATGTAATATTTTATTTGCTGTAGGATGTACATAGTTATAGTAAGCAGCTGGGTGGGTAGAGGGAATGCTGCTTCATAAATTAGATTTAAATGGTACGTAAAATAGCCATAAAAATTTTTACATATATAGTATAGGGAAAGATGGAAAAACTATTCAGAAACCAGAAGTTGAATGTTAGTGTAAGAACTGTTAAGAGTGGTGAGGACGTACTATTTTACGCAAAAGATGTGGCAGAATCTCTAGGGTACTCAAACACAAGAAAGGCTATCAAAGACCACGTTTGGGAAGAGGATAAGTGCACTCTGGGGTCCATCCAAAGGGGGAACCTGGAGTGCCCCCTTTTGAAGGGCCAGCCCGGTACCATTTTAATAACAGAACAGGGTTTGTACCAATTAATTTTTAGATCAGAGCTTAACATAGCAAAGGAGTTCAGGAGGTGGGTGTTCACTGAGGTCCTCCCATCTATCCGCAGGACGGGCTTATATGAATTACCAGACAGAAGGTCACTTAGGTATAACCAAATGATTCTTATAAATGAAACTGACCTTCATCATACAGTTGTGAGTTACATTAGAGATAACTACCCAGAGGCTGTAATAATACCTAGCCTAGGTGAGTACCAGGATACCGTGTCAAAGAGATGTGACGCCTGGAAGAAGGGATATAAAGGTGGTCAGCCGGATCTTATTATAGAGAATCCTATGGGGAAGTATAAAGGATTTGCCATCGAATTTAAGTCTCCCAAGGGCACTGGGACTGTAAGTGAGAAGCAGGCAGTATGGCTTGGAAAGCTGAGGGAAATAGGATACATGACAATGATATCAGACGACCTAGTGAAAACTTGTATTAGAATTAATGAGTACTTCTCACTTAAGAAGGTCGCAAAGAAGATCACAGTGAACAACATACAGTGCGCTGTAAGGTTGTACAGACCTAGGTTCAGTTCAGGTAAGTACTAGTCAGGTCATCTCACCAGCAGATTTGAGATACCCCACCAGTTATCTCACCAGTAGATTTGAGACATCTTACAAGTAAATTTAAGTTATCTCACAAGTAGACTCCAGATGTCTCACAAGATGAAACCCAGTTAAACCTAAGGTATCTTACAAGTAGAATGGAAGATAAACCTGAGCAAACCCAAGTAGTGACAAGTGAAAAGAAGAAAGACCCAAAAAGAGTAGCTGCGGGAAAACGGTTAGCTGCAATCAGCAGATTAGCAAAGGAGAGGAAAAAGAAACTTGCAGAACCTGAGGAGTCATCCAGCAATAACATGATCGCATATGTAGGAGTGGTCATCGCATTGATATCCCTTGCTCTAGCATTTAATCAGCATCAGAGGGAAACAGAGAAACCAGAACCTAAGTACATCCCTAAAACTGTAGAAGTAACCAGGAAAGCTGATGCGCCAAAGTTAGATTCACTTGAATGATACGTTAAACATAATATATATTATAGCAAGATGAGTAAAGAATCAAAGATGACCGCAGAAGTGTACAACGCAGTGTTACTTACAGCAGGAGCAGTTGGTATATCAATGGCATCAAAAAAACTATTGAAAGAACCGTTAGGAACCCCAGAGAATGTAAAAGGAATGGCAAAGCTAGCTGTCTCAGTTAGTCTTTCATCCCTACTGGTCTCTTACCTGAAAGAAAAGAAGTATATACCAGATGACCCATTCAAAACCTAGGTAAGACTATACAATGGCGGGAGCAGTAGCAGGAGGATTATTTAACGCATTCGCATTTGCTGGAGCAGGATACCTATTTAAAATGTTTGACAAGAATGGATACGCTGAGGAAGCCCATAGACATAACATTGCAATGGAGAACCTAACAGCTGAAAGAGAGAAGTACCTTGAGGAAGTAACCAACAGAAGAAACAAAATTGCGCAACTCAAGGCCGAACTGGCTGAGGCGAATAGGGATATTAACGCAACAAATAAGGCATTAGAACTCATCAGGAGAATCAACGAGCTAACACGTACAGCTATGCCAAGAAAGCCGCAACTAAGTAACCACTACAAACCTAGCTCAGAGATGGAAGAATATATGGCAATATTTGGTTTAATTATGGGTGGGGTGGTTGGAGGGGCAGCTTATTTAATACTGTAAAATACCACAAAAAATTTTCACATATATAGTATAGAGGAATGGAATGGTTAGAGATTGTAACACCTGATGAAATGGCAAAAGTAGGTAAGAAGGCAAATACACTGGAAGAGTTAGAGGCTACCGTGAGAAAGTACGTGGAGAGTAGAATAAAAACAAAACATACATATGATCCAGTATGTAGTGAATGTGGTAGTAAGTCTATTGTAATAATAGATGGAGCAGATGTATGCACACAATGTGGTACAAGTGACAGGAATGGCTTTACATACTATGTTAGTTACAACCACAACAAGGACGACTACCTGAAAAAGAAGTCTTGTCATAACAGAGTCCGTTGGTTTGAGAGACACTTATTAGAGCATGTTGCTTCAGGGGATAGGGATACCATAAGGGAGCAGTTTAGAAGCATTGTAAGATGTATACAAAGGCTTAGACTGCAACGGGGGCGCAACATAGTTAGATATAAGTTTTACCTACTGAGGATAGCCAGCATGAACAACATCACGCTGAGAAACCCTCCTGAGGACATTAAGACTAAAAGAATTGTGGACATCCTTGAGAATAGGTTATATAGTAAAGTCTTCCCCGAGTTGGGATGGAAACCTATAAATTGTAAATATTATAATAACTGGAAATTAAAGAATAAATAAAATTAAATAAAATATAAAATTATTAAATAAATAAAAATATAAAATTATTAATTAAATAAAAATATAAAATTATTAATTAAATAAAAATATAAAATTATTAATTAAATAAAAATATAAAATTAAATGTTAAATAAAATATTAAATTAAATAGACCTTTTAATAGGTCTATTTTTTTTTACATATAGTATATAGAGAGAGAGTGAAAAAAATGGCGACAAACTTTGACTTAAACGATTTAACTGTAGAACAACTTATGGCCCTCAGCGAGATAATTGATGATAGCGATGTTAGTGACATTGATGACAAAGTTGAGGAAATATTTACGGATGATTTCTATCGAGTTGCACCTAAGGATAAGGGTAAAGATCCCTTTGAAGGACAAAGACTATTCATAGATGAAGGCGACCGTTCTACGGATCCCAAGAAACCAAGACGACTCCCACTTAACTATAAAGGTAGAAGAGGAATTATGCCGACATGGAAGTATTCCGAGAGACAAAAGGCTAAGGCTCTACTCGTTGAGGAGGCATACCAGAGTTTACTAAGTAGGGGAGTCAAAGGTTTACCACCAACAATGGGAGGAAGATGGCGAACAGACGATCCACAGGTAAATGCTGAAATTAAGAGACTTGAAAATGAGAGGAACCCTAAGCGTCCCAGAGGAAGACCATCAAAGCCTAAGTTTGATGCTGAAGTAAAGGTCCCAAGAGGTAGACCAACAAAACCTAAAACTGATGACAAGGTTGTGATTCCAAAGAAGCGTGGAAGACCACCGAAGCCTAAGTCTGACACTGAAGTTAAGGTCCCAAAGAAGCGTGGAAGACCACCGAAGACTAGGGCAGCTGAAACACCAAAACCTAAGGTTAAAAGACAAACCGTCGCTGAAAGATTCCTAAGTCAAAACAGGATTAAACTTTCAGTTCCTGCAAACAGTGTTATAACTCCAGCAGGCCCAGGTAAGTTCACAATCCACGTGGATCTTAACAAGAAACCCACAAGGAAAGCTCCTGAAGTACCAAAGGGTGTAGCTCCCTGGAAACCAACACCTAAACCTAGGGAAAGGCCAATTCCTAAACCAAGAACTATATTTCCTAGGGAAAAACCCGTTCCTAAGCCAAGAACTGTAATTCCTAGGGAAAGACCTGTTCCTAAACCAAGGACCATAAAACCAGTGCCTCCTCCAAAGTTACGAAAGCCTGTAAAGGTGTTCAAGGAAGCTAAAGAACAGCCTGCAGTGGTCACACCTAAGGAACATGAAATAGATCCATTTGGAACATATCTCGAAAAGCCATTCCACAGGAAAATCGAAACAGCCGCAAATGGAGCAGCTGTAACTTATTCGATTACTCCTCAGTATATGGATCCCCTAGACCAGATGACCGCAAGTAGGCAGGTAGTAAGGGGAATACTAGTGAATGAGCTGAAGAGAATGGGAGGGTTGAAATACACTGAGACAATTAAGGTGAGAATGTCAAAGGATATTGGTAATGACAAGACAAAGAAAGATTCAATATACTTTAAGTCTAAAACTGGAACCGCGACTAACTTTGAGGACATTGAAAGCACAGCTGCTCAAAATCAACTGACCATCCTTGCTAGAATAGAAACCTTTCAAAACTTAGGTTCAAATTGGATTATTCTGAATATTGAAAGCCATTATGTAAACATTGCGATGTACAAACCTCTAAAGGGTAGTTCATATATGAAACTACCTGCAGACATTAGTAATCCAAAATGTGGGCTAATCAATATGAAAAACAACGACAACAAATGTTTCATGTGGAGTCATGTGAGACACGTAAGACCGAAAGCCCGAAGAGCAACCACCATTACACGACAGGATATGGAGTTCGCGGAAAACCTAGACTACAGCGGTATAGACTTCCCTGTGAAGATAAGCGACATCGAAAAAATTGAGAGGAAAAACAGTATGAGCATATCAGTGTTTGGTTATAGTGGTAAAAAGCAGTTCTATCCTATAAGAAGCTCTAAGACCAAATATGACGAGCATATGGAGTTGCTGCTCTTAGGTGACGGTAATGGTAATAACCACTATGTTCTCATAAAGGATGTAAACAGAATGCTATTCAGTGTAAGTGGAAATTCAAATAAGAAACACTTCTGCTTACACTGTCTTCATAGTTGCTCAAGTAAAGAGTCACTTGAAAAACATAAGGAGACATGTCTAGAGGTAAACGGAACTCAAGCCACAAAGCTTCCCAAGGAAGGTTCTAAAATAAAGTTCAAAAATCATAGGAACTCAATGCCTGCTCCATTTGTTATATATGCTGACTTTGAGTCTATACTTGTTCCTGAAGGGAGAAAAGTTGATTCTGAGAACCCTGGGGATAAAAGCAGCACGGACCTTTACCAGACACATAAGGCCTGTAGTTTTGGGTTGAAGACAGTCTGCCATTACGATGATAAGTACTCTGGTGAGTATATCAGTTACGTTGGAGAGGATGCCACACAGGTCTTCCTGAAGACTGTATTGAAAGAGTCATTCAAGTGTAGAGATATGGTTAACCAGATATTCAAGAAAAAGATGGTAATCACACCCGAACAGGAAACTGAGTTCTGGATGACAAGAAACTGTTCAATATGTGGTAACGACCTTGGAGATGACAGGGTGAGGGACCATGATCATGTAACAGGAATGTACCGGGGAGCTGCTCACAATATATGCAACTTAAAATATAGAATTACATGGAAAGTGCCTGTGGTCTTCCACAATCTTAGAGGTTACGACAGTCATCTAATTATGCAAGAGATTGGTAAGTTTAAGATGAACATTAACGTGATCCCAAATAATATGGAAAAATATATTTCCTTCTCTCTTGGTAAAAATATCGTGTTCATTGACTCTATACAGTTTATGGCTTCTTCACTAGAAGCACTTGTGAGTAACCTTTCACCTGAGGACTTCAAGATAGTAGGTAAGAGGTGGAAGGGTGAGGACTTCGACTTAGTGACACAGAAAGGAGTCTTTCCATATGAATTCTTAGATGACATCAGTAAGCTAGACTCAGAGGGTCTTCCAAGTAGAGATGAGTTTTACTCATCACTGTATGAGTCGAAGGTGAAGGAAGAGGATTACCAAAGAGCTCTAAAAGTATGGGACCACTTCAAGATGAAGACTATGAGAGACTACCACGATCTCTACCTAGAGACTGACGTTCTACTACTTGCTGATGTATTCGAGAACTTTAGACGAACCTGCCTGGAAAATTATAAGCTAGACCCCGCACATTACTTGTCAGCACCTGGTCTAAGTTGGGACGCATTCCTGAAACAGTCAGGTGAGGAAATAGAGCTTGTAAGTGATATGGACATGTTCCAGTTCTTTGAGAAGGGAATGAGGGGAGGGGTAAGTCACATTGCTCATAGATACTCAACAGCGAATAATAAGTACATGGAAACGTATGATGAGACATCTGAAAACAAGTACCTTACGTACCTCGACGCTAACAATTTATATGGCTGGGCAATGTCACAACCACTACCTAATGGAGAGTTTGAGTGGGTCGAGGAATTCAACAATATAAATCTCGATGACTACCTGGGAGACAGCGAAAGAGGTATGGTTCTAGAGGTTGACATGGAATATCCAAAAGAACTTCACGATCTCCATAACGGCTATCCTCTAGCACCAGAGAGCAAGGAGATTG